GAAGGGGTGGGAGGAGGTGGCGGCTCGGAGGAAGCCCGGGACTGCGCTGGGGGGCCAGGGGACGGAGGGATGGGGCGGGAGGGGCGTGGAGGACGAGGTGGCAGGGTGGGGGAGGGGAGAGCCCACTTCCTCGCCAGCCTCGGCAGCGTCAACAACAGCTGTTATTTATTGAGGGCTGGTCCTCGCTCAGACGAGCATTTATTGGGCGCCTCCCGTGTGCCAGGCACGGTGCCCGAGGCGGGCCAGTAAGTCCCAACTTGGCGCCGCCCTCCCGGAGCCTTCTCTCTGGGGGTTTAACCTGCCCGGGGCCTGCCCTTGGCCTGTTTCTGGGCTTTAACGCTTTGGGGGGATGTCGGCCAGGCTAGTCCCATTTCACAGTTGAAGAAACTGAGGCCAGAGAGCGTGGGAGCATGCAAGCTCTGTGAGCACGAGAGCCCTCCCAGCCTGGGTCGCTCCTGGACTTGGCTCCACAAATGAACTGGGGCATGGATGGGGGTGACTGGCCTGGTGGGGCGGGGCTGGGATTGGAAGCCCAGGTGGCTGATCTGGTGCCTGGCTGCAGGGCTGGGGCGGCGACCCCCGGACCTCACCATTCCAGGCATTCTCCAGGCATGGCCCCCAGGGAGCTGGGCAAGCCTTGGCCTTTTCTGAGTCTGGGTTGACTCATCTCCACAGCCTTTAGAGCCGGAGCAGGAGGGAGGAGGGGCTTCATCCTGCAGCAGACATTTATTGTTCCTGTGTTGGGTGCTGGGGACACAGCTGAGGCCCAGTCGAGCAGCCACCCAACCCCGAACTTTCTTTTGAACTTGGAATGACATGTCAGGACCCATGCACACAGTAGGTACTGCATAAATCCCAGACCCTTGGAGCTCCTTCCGCCCTGCGTCATACAGCCTCTTGGGTCTCCAGGTGGGACTAGAGGGCCAGTCTCCACCCTCCTGCTTGCTCCTGACCTCCCCCAGGGCCTTCCTTCGAGGGACAAGTGTCAGTCCCTTATGTCTGGCCGCTGCTAGCTGTTTCTGCATTGTCTCCATGGCTTTCTTCCTCCATGGAAGAGGTGGCGGCTTCCTTTATGTTCTCGGTTTGACCTGAGTGTTAAAGGCTCCCACCCTTAGCCCAGTGACCCAGTGACTGGGCCAGGCACCTGTGCAAGTCTGGTGAGGGGTGGCTTCCAGCCACACTGGGAATCTCAGGGCTGCTTGGTGCAGGTGCTCCCAGGCTCTGCGGCTTTCTAACTGTGAAACGTCTCCTGGTAATTATTCTGGAAACTCGGACTTTGCATCCCATCTGCTTCTTCCTTTTCCCACTCCAGCCCCAGACTTCCCTCAGGGTCTCCTCCTCTTTGGGGTATATGGCCTGACAGATTGGCTCAGCCAGGGAGCTGTGTTGGGGCTTTTGCAAGGAATTCTGGGAAGTGGGATTTTGCATCTTGAGGGATAGACCTCTTTCTTTGCTCCTCTTTTGTGGGGGGCTGAGGGAGGATAGGCCTCTTATGACAATGAAGTCACTGGGTGAAGGAGATTGATGGCCCTGGGGCCGTCATCATTTGAGCCCTGAGAAAGCTGTTCCAGAAGCCCCTGGCTGGGCTTTCATTCATTCATGCAATCTTTTTTTTTTTTTTTTGAGTTGGAGTGTCACTCTGTCACCCAGACTGG